TCTTCTAGTTGCCCATTGCTTCTATAATGCCTGAGAAATTGGGCAAAGACAAAAACAGGACACCTGCTTTCTGCTCTTAGTGTAAGCATTATGATTTTCAAAACCAGACTTTTGCAGTCATTGGATTACTGCAATAACATTACAGAATTGTTACAACTTCAGGAATAAGAGCTGAGACAAGAGACAAATTTACCATCCATCTGCAGAGATTTCCTTGAAAGGCCAGGTTGTGAACCATGGGTTCATTTTGCAGATTGGCTGGCTGTAGTCATCTGTGCCATTAACCCAGTGGATCAGCTATCCCTGGGTTTTTGCTGTGTGGATGTTAATTTTAAGTTGCTAGTTGCCGTTGCCTGGTTTGTGTTGCTTATTTGTTTTCTTGGTATGGTGTTGGTTTGGATTTTTTTTTTGTAAAAGCTGACGAGAATTTTAATAATCTCTCATCTCTCTTCGGTCACAAATTATTACCTACAGGGATCTTCTACTGATTTGTTTCACCTTTGACAACTTGCATAATTCTCTTATACCTAAGCAACCCAGCTCAGAAATAAGCATTAAAAGACCCTTGCAAATTTGCTGAGTTTTACAGGTAATACAAGATATAATAATCTGAAAAATGTGATTTGGTGATACCGTTGTTACATATCTTAGCCTGAATAGACAAAGCCCTAATTAACATTCATACAATTATCTAAGTCTTTTAAAGTCCATCTGTACAGCTAGTCTTAATGATATATACATAGCATAGCAATCCCAATAAATACTAAGCACATACAATGCAAGTGTTTTTAATTTAAACCATGCAATCGATTAAGGATGGAGTGTTCTGAAACCATTGTACATGTCTGTATTTCAGTGTATGGTTATCTTAAGACTTGAACACCTTCCTGCTGAACTAGAGTCCTGCACATGTCCGGGAGCTGTTACTCCAGCAACAGCAGTATCCAAACAAGTCAGCTTTGGAAATGACTAATTTAGCCTGATACGGGTGACTTTACTGGAATATATAACCCAGCTCAGGTGTTGCAGTTACTCAACTTATTAATAAATATAAATACCAAATTTACACATTTTCAGAATAAAAAAAAAAAAAAAAGGTGCTGCTCCTAACGTGCATAACATGCATGCTTTTTATCTACCCTGCACAGAAGAGTTAATTCAGCTTTCGGCAGTCTGTAGCCTGTGAAGCAAGGAGAGTAACTCCTGGCTGGTTTATGGTTTAAAGCATGATTGAATATACTAACAGGGTTCCATGAAGTACTCATTTCAATATATGTAATGTATTTTTAAAATATTTCACCTCTATACATGTCTCATCCTCTAAATAAGTGGAGCATCTCTATTGCGCTTAAGCAGAAGCAGTAAAGCCCAAAAATACTGAGACAGCACCAGTGATCTGAATCTTGGAATTTTATTCTCTGGTCAATAACTTGTTGATCGTTGTGTGATCGTTCATGTGACTTCAGTTGCTCTTTGTTTCTGTTTCTGTCAAGTGGGGGTATCTATTCATTGCAGAGTAATTTGAGGTTTACAGGGGTTTACAAATGTCTAAGTTACAAAACATCATTGTGATAAGTATAAAAAAAAGTCTTTCCAGGAACATTTTAACTCAGTTGTTCCAATGATCAGTTCCTAACATTTAGATTATGGCAATTAAGGTAAATGCTTTTTGTCTGATCAAGAAGATTATTTATAATCTTAGAAATTTCTAAGACTAGGTTATTTTTGGTGTTTGTATGCAGGTTCTTCTGGGGAAGTATGCAGGGACATCACAAACAGTGTTTAAACCTCACCACGGCAACTGATTTTTCTGTGCTTTATCAATAACATATTTGCAGAACTGCCAGATGGGGAGAGAAGCTGCAGTGAGAAAATAATGGTCAGGTTTGTAGTACAACAAGAAAAAAGTATCAGACATTAGATACATGATTTTAAAAGCATGTTTTGACTAACTTGAAGCATTTCACAAACTTCTTAAATAGAAGCTTTGCATTGATCTCTCTGCAAGAATGACAAAAGGAAAAGGAAGAAAAAAATTATATAGCTAAAGCTGACACAAAGCCTAACCAAATACAATTAATATGGAATACAAATATAGTAAATATTTAGATAGTAAATCTTGTGGTAGTATTGGAGTCAGAAGGTCACTATGAGCTTCGCAGTAAAGATTTCTAATAGGGTATACACAGTCTCTCCTTCCTCCATTATGGAGAAGATTGGTAAAAAAGCAGAGCCTTGAAAAATGTGATTCTCCCAGGCTCTTCTGTATACAACAGCATTAAAAACAAACATTTAAAGACAGCAAACTTGCAAAACCTCAGCGCATTTTTTAACCCATTTTCAGGCAGCATTAGATCAACAACAGAAATAATTGCTGTCAGTTTGTACTTTTTGACCACTAATTCTCTGTATTTCCTGCAAGAAACTTGAGTGATGCAAATGACCTTATTTTTACAGCATGCTTTTATTAAATAGTTTATTATTTTGGCAGACTAATAAAGATTTTGGTATTTGCTTTTATTTGCAATAATATTACCACCACATAAAAAAGGATTTTATGTTCTTTTTGAGGAACAAGGAGGATAAAAGTGTTGATGGATAGTGCAACTAAGGCATCAGCAATGAGCTGGAAATGAGACACATAAATATGAAAGCAGAGCTAAGAAAATAGAACTGCACCCTTGGCCTTTCTTAAAAGAACACGCACATACCATGGTTCATTCATATAGTTACAGAAACTCCTTTTGTTTTCAGTGAGTCACTGAAAATATGCAAAGACTAAAATATTACCAAGATTCTCAGTTATTTGGGATATTTCTGTAGTTAATATGGTCATGAAATGTGTCTAAACATGTAGATAAATGTGTGGTGATGATGCTGATTTCTTCATGGTATATTTTATTTGCAGTATAAATTTGTCCCTCTTTCTAGCTGTATCTTAGCCAAAGGTGGTGAAACAATACTGGTTTTAAGTTTTCCCTTTTTTGCCCCTAGACAGAGCTAATTCTTCAAAGATCAAACAGCTGAGACCTAGTAGCCAGGTTAGACAATGACACACAAAATTTAAAAATGAAATTTATCAGTCCTCTAATCAAAAAAGCCAACATAGCATGTAATAGCATTAAACTTACAGTATCTTGAATGACGGGGTCGTTTCAGATTGAAAAAATTGTGACTAATGTAGTCAATCTGCAATAATCTGAGCTCCTTGACAACTGGTGTGGTTGGATGCTAGGGGTATTCGATAGGGGTATTCGACAGTGCATAAGAGTTGCTCAGCACCTATTGTAATCTGAACCTCAATTCCTTAAGGTAAGGAACATATTTATTCAAACAAATAGTTGGATATGCTTTAGAAATAATTATGTTCCATTGATCAAAGCTACTTAAGGTCTGAATTCTACACCTCCAAAAGACATCTGATACAGAAAAATATGAACAGAGCAAATTCTACATGAAAAAAGGTGAACAGGCAAACAAAACTTCGCCTCATGGAAAATTTTTATCTTCCATTTGCCTTTTCTAAAAGGCAGTAAGTAGGAATCCTAAAGTATGAGTTTCATAGAAGAATAAATCTAACAATTAATTATATGTCAAGGCTTAAGAATCAAAAAACTGCTTATGCCCATTGCCAGTCATTCACTCCCTGTCAGTAGTAGTTCACATCTTTCCTGGGATGGCATCCAACCACAGTGGCATCTAAAATATAGCAGGCTATATTGTTACAGTTGGAGGTGAAATCGAAAGTTGCACCAAACAGAAGTGACAAATTCACATTGCTCTGTGTTGCCTAGCAATAAGAGATGAGTTTATTATGAACACTGGCTCTATCCATTGCAAAGGGGCTTTGTATTCACACCAAAATGCCACTACTTGTACAGGCAAAAGGGGCAAAAATAAAGTGGGCAGAAGGAGGAAACAGCCGTAGTAGTTGTAAGCACTTTCTGTATTTCAAGATTCCTCTCTGTCTCTTAGGAACAGCTCAGGAAGGAAAAAGCAGAGCCTGCCTCTAGCTGAACTCTTGAGATTGGCCAGGTAGCTTGTTACTGATCTTAATCATTCTTTCAAATGCCCTTAGTAGTGTCAGAATATTCAAATACATAAAATCTTTAATGAGTGTTCTTAAAAGCTACACAGTAGCATTGTTTTAATTGTGCAGAGCTTTCAATTTTCTTCAGCTTCCACCCCCTCCCCCCTTCTTTTTTTAATTTTTTTTTTTTTTTTTTTTTTTTTAATTTAAGGAAAAGGACAAGACTTCAGGGAGCTTTTACCCCCTCAGACACCTTGCTGTTTTCCTTTTTAACCACTGCTTATATGGGAAAACATTTATTTCTATCTTGGACATTGGACTATGTCTCTCAACATATTAAGTACCTAACTGTTCAAATAAAAAGGATTTTCAAGAAGTATTTAGGTATCATAGAAAACCTTACCTGGGTACCCACGCACATTTTTAGGCATCTAATAAATTTTAACACTCCACTCAATCGCTCTTATTAGAAAAAAAATCTCAAATGACTGATCTGTTTCTGTGCTTTTATGCCATCTGCATTTTTGACAACTGAATATTTTTGACAGCATGGTCCATTGTGCCCAAGTTCACATCATTTTCTTCCCCTTTCTCTTTTTTAAACATCACATGACTACATATATGATAAGAAAATGGTTTATATCACACATTTTGCTTTACAGATTTACAGCAGATTTTTTGAAGTGACAAAAGTATACAAGAAGTGTTTCTTTTATCAGGATGCATTTATATTATAAAAACAATAGATTCATAAAATGCTGTGTAAGTCAAGTACATTGAAGTTACAAAACAGTTGTGATTTTAAGAGGCTTTTCAAACAAATGCAAAAATTCAGGATGAAGTTTAGAGATGATATAATTTAGGTAAAATAGGATGAAGTCTAGATAAAAAAATTATCTCTTATATTTATGAAATAATTAACTAAAAATGCTAATGTAGAAGTCTCTCCTTAGCTTACATGTTACTAGACCAATTAACTGAACCTGTGAAAGAATGAGAATTTAATTTTTATATTTTCTGTGCAAAATGCAGCTATTGTCTCAGATTCTCATTTATGCAGTAAGCTTTGCAGGTACAAAACTGAGGTACTTAACAATTTGTAAATGTTTTTGTAACTTTGGTCCTTTCTTTATTTCAGATTCAACGTGTTACAAACAAACATATTCCACCTGTTACAACAATCTGGCATATTACTTTCTTGATACGTGATGATACAATACCTCTCAGGTTTGCTGAGTAGCAAAGAGAAATGTAAGCAAATGAAAAGGTTTTCCACTTTCACAGTTTTTTTTCTGCTTGGGGTTCTGTTTGTCTGAGAACTGTATGAATAGAAGCCATATTTTATAGTATTTCTTTAACCTCTGCCATCTGGTGTAGGTTAGTTTTTCCACTGCCAACATATCCTAGAGGCCCCAGTACCAAAATGTTTAATTTCTAAGTAAACATTTGGACTTTATAAATCCAGCTTAAAAAAACAGAGCATTATTTTTTAAAACTATATATTGTATTTGCCACTACAAATGACATTAATAACACATAGACAAGTGTGTGGGTTTAAGTGCTTCTGGCCGTGACTGTTTTCTGTAGCAGAGCTCCAGAGATGTCAGGTCACCCAACATCTTTAATCACTGAGTCATGCTCAGTTATCATGAAGAAACTTGAATATACCCTATTGACATACAGTCTGAAGTTGTGTCAAGGGATTTGCACCACCATAGCCAAAACCTTCCAAATCAAGCATGGTTTCACACAGATACTACTTACCCATGCCAAAGCTTTAGCTGTTCTATTTTTCTCAATATAAACTGGCGTTACTTCACTGCAACAAGCAAGGATTGTTACTACAAAGCAATTTGGGAAAGTAGGCAACCACTTAAAAAACCAAGGAATGCAATAGCAGTATCTCCAGCAACTTCCTTATGTTTGAGGGGAAAAAGAGCACAACAAAAACCAACAAAAAACCACAAAAAACTGTGTGTCAGAATTGTACTATCAAGAAGACAAAGTCCTTTCTAAATTTACAAAAGCATAATGTTGGATTTTGGACTAGCCAGTAAATTCCCTGATCTCAATTTGAAAGCATGCAGTAGTATTGATTGTCCCAAGCTGATTTTTAGTTGGAGAGAAAAACTGAAAAAAAAACAACAAAACAACCAACCTTGCTTCTGCTGAGAATGGGCAGGCATACAGAGTTCATCTTAATCAGTATTCTTCAGAAGCAGACAGTCACTGGGGAAGAAAATAAATAGATAATAAAGATGCATAAGTAATAAAGGAGAACATTTAAAGCTGTGTATAAGCAAGATCTGAAGGGTAAACAAAAGGAAAATAACTATCTTGTTACTTAATTCTGATTTAGAAAAAGGTCTGGAAAAAAACTCAGAAACTCCCACTTCTTTCCATCTCCACCTGGTCAATTTTTTTTTATTTTTATTTTTTTATCTCTAAATTCCAAAATAAAAGTGATAGCTTGGTTTGCCACCTTCTCCTGAAGATTTTCCTACTCCTGAAGAGTATTCAGAAACATGTTTTTGGCACACAGTGATTCCTTCAATGAAAATTTACAAAAGGTCCTTACTTCTTACTGTTTATTCATTTTCTAATTAAACAAGTGTTAAAAACAAAGAACAGTAAATAATCTAATTAACAAGTGGTTCTTTTCTGAGGACTGAGCTGTAGTACAAAAGTTACGCCCATTTAATTGAATTAATTTAGAATCTGACTAGTTTAATCAGTGCAATCTGGTAATGAAGATTCACGATATTTGTTGAATTTAAATGATAATTCTCTTGAGGCATCTGCTGAACAGTAGGGATGAGGAGGTGACGTATCAATTTTCAGCCAATCTGGGATGTGAAATTCTACGTTACTTTGCAAGACCACTAATTGCATTTGTTTTAAAATGCTTAATTATAAACAGCAGCATCAGGGGAATGAAGGTCCTGTTCCTACCATGGGAATAGTGACTTCTCCTACCTGGATGGACACTTGGTTAAATTGTCTCAGAACGAGTCATCAGAATTTACAAATCAGAGCCCACACTGCAGTTGTCTTAGTCATCAGTGAAACTGATCAGTGGTTTAATTTAGTTATTTTCTTATACTAGCTTACTTGGAGGCCATACACGTTTTCACTGTGCTCATTAAGCCTTCTTGTTGTGCTACTCTAGTGGCATAATAGAGTAGGTTTAGCCTTAAGAAATCAGACATGTACCACCAGTCCCTCTTTTTACCTGCCCTCTTCTAAAGTTTTTCCTGCAAACATTTGGTCAGTGTATCTGAGTTTTTTTAAGGACTGATGATGCTAACATTCCTGAAGGTTGTATGAACATAACACCTCTGTGGGAAGAAAAATAAAAATCAGTCAGAGCTTCAGCAAAGACTAGAGTCAGTAGTTACATATTTGGCCATTCATTAAATATGCCTGCCACAACGCTGTCCTGCTGTTTGCCACATTAATAGTGAAAGAATATAGAAAGAATCTGGGAATGTTTTTCATGAAATTACAGGATTTGCCATTACTATCTTAAATCTGGCTGCTAACTCACAACCTCCCCCAGAAGAGACTAGAAGGAGGAGCCTCGGACTTAACTCTAGCATACAAACTGAACTGATAGACCTAACTCCTTCTGAGGGACAGGTTCTGGGCTCTGAATTTCTTCTCTGTATTTCCTACTTAATTACAACCTTCTCAGTTTTTCACTATAATCCTATTCAGATTTGTCTGCAACCAGTCTGCCTGCCAAGCATGGGCTAAGGGTTTCACTTGGCAGCAGAGTGCCACGTTAGGTACTGAAGTGCTTGGCTTTGTGATGACATTGTGAGGCCTTAGGTGTTTTCAAAAGCATGGTAGTGGTTCACATATACACCATAATTGGCCCCATTAAGACCAAAACTCTACCTTTAAATTCTATATAGAAGTTAATTTACCTACCAATGCCAAGTGGTGTTGAAGTAACCAGATTTGTATCAGGAGTGAATTGGTTCCATGATTTAGATTGTTATATTTGCTGAGTACCGAAATCTTACCTAACAATTACAGTTATTTTATAAATGTGATAAGCATACAGGGGACACATGATCATATATCATGTATATGTTTCTTATTTTTATTAAGTGACATACATGGAGAACAAGAACAGCTACTCTAAAGATCATATATAACATATAACTATCCAGGGACAGTGAATATTAAACAATATGTGGATCTTGATAGAATTTTCATTCACAGAACATTATGGACTTCACATAGTTTTGTTTATTGTACAGTGAGTAGTCAAGTAAATTTTCAGACATTGAAAGTGTATTTTTCTATAATAGAAAATTTTAAGCAGGTTTCTTGGCATGCATTTTGTTTGTACTGTGCTTGAGGTTTTTTATGGCATTAGTGGTTTGTGTGTTTGTGCATGTTTGCATTCTGTCTGTTTATGAAGTGTTTCACTGGTACCCTTACACAGCATGTGGTTGGTCGAAGATTATTTTTCATAGCATGTGTAGTCATCACGCGTTTTGCTGAAAGGCTTTTAAACTAAAGTGGGTTAAACACTGCTTATCTGGACTTGCATAAAGAAAGACACACATGTAGGTTGTACTCCTCTTCACAAATTTGATACAAAATATACCTGCACCACTTCAGAGTTGAGAGTGTGAGTTGGTTCCAGTTTTTCCAATAATCATGGCAGTTTGGTATATTTGAGGTTCGTAATTCAATAGAATAACAATTCTATTAATAACTGGAACATTTGTATGTTTTCTTATCCTAGATGTTAAAAATAATTAACAGATTATACATTATATTATAATAATACCATGCATGTAAATATTTTTACGTGAACTACAGAAACAAAAACAAACCCTTGACGAGGATAATTTAAATCACTTCAGTCTGTATTTGACAGATAAATATAGGCAATATTTTCAGGACCCACAGGCAGGTTTATGAAATTAATCAGTGAATTACACTGGGTTTAGGGTGTTAGTTGATACTTTCCCTCGTGTTTTGAAAGTATAGATTGGTCAGCATGTGTCTAACAAGACATTACAGGAATACTATTTGTAAAAAAAATAGATACTAAGTAGCTCTAGACACAGACATCAGTTCAGTAAGGATTTTATGAATGCTACAGAATAAAAATACTGTTGCTTTGTTTAGATGCCTCACTGCTACTTTAAGAACATAATTCTCCCCACCAATCTTGTCCTGCAGTTCAAGAAACTCTGAAGAAATTACTGAGAATGTGCATGAAACTTAAAAGAAACAGAGCTGACCAATAATAAATACTTATGAAAATTGCACTTGTATGTACAATTTCATTGCTATTTTTACTAAAGTTCTTCACAGCTAATAAACTCCATGTATCAGTTCCGATTTTTTTTTTAGAATAATTTTATACATGTATACCTCTCCTCTTCCTACCAGAATAATATTAAATACTTTAATGATATTTCTTTTACATTGCTCAAGTATTCATTCATGAGAGCTTAAAATACATTTCATTATCTGTCTTTGAATATGTGAATAAATTCAGTTAATATCAGTGAAAACATTTCATTTATGCTGTGCACATTTTTTATCTACTTTCTGAATGTAAAATATTGTACTGCTGTATCATGTATAACACCATGCTGTGCTGCACAGCTATAGTTGCTTTTTATGTATACTGCTATAGGATACAGTGAGATAGTTGCTTTTTATGTATACTGCTATAGGATACAGTGAGACCTTTGCTTAAGAATAATTATTTAAGAGACTTTAAGTGAATTAGAAAGAAGATAGCTAGAGGTAGAATTCAGACCCTCCAGCTAATCTTTCTGCTTGTAACATGCCATACCTACGCTATTCCTGAGAAACCTAAATTCAATCCATAGAAAATAACATTTCTATGCCTCAAGACATAGGAGCCATTCATACAGAAATGAGAAGTAAAATGTGTACAGAAACTTTACATCCTATGACAGTAGCAGCAGGTTCATAGTGTCAGGAAGAAAAAAAAATGATGAAAGGAAGCCAAGCCTGACAAACTGAATTGTGGCTCATCTGAGTGTTGTTGAACTTTGTTTCACTAACAAATCAGTGGTATTTTTTCCTTCTAATGAAATAATAATTTATAGTTAAATAAAGGGAAAATCATTAAAGTCCATTCCTATCACCATAATATACTGAAGTAAATGTCTACGCACTATATAAATTCCTAGATCTTGGAAACTGTATAGGTATTCCTTAATATTTTAAATTCGGAGTAGAGAAGGGATTTTAGTAAAAGCAAAAGTTGATACAGTGGACTGAATTTTGCAATAATTTGTATGGAAATATGTATCCATGCAGAATTGATGTAAAAATCCAAATAATGACTATATAAGAAGTACCATATTTCTATGTAATAATATACAATATTTTATAGAATGGAGTACATGTATTCTATATTATTAAGTAGAGAGAGTATACATAGCATATCCATTGTATATAGTACATTCATAATAACATAATGAATATAATAACATAATGAACATAATAACAAGAGATGAGCCAAGACAGAACTATTCATTTTGGGCTTTGTTCACATACTGGCTCATATGCTAACTGTTTACACATATCATATTTTGATAATATTCTTAAAAAAATATTTTTATACTGTAAAGAAGATCTATGTAATCTGGGTGTTCTTGAAAATAAAACTTAACTTTTATGTTTGTTATGGTTTAAGCCCAGCCAGTAACTCAGAACCATGCAGCCACTCACTCACTCCTCCCCTTCTTTCCCCCCCGGCTCCTGGAGGAATAGGGATGAGAATTGAAAGAATGTAAATCCCATGGGTTAAGAACAGTCCAGTAACTAAGGTATAACACAAAACTACTATTGCTACCAGCAGTAATAATAATGATAAGGAAAATAACAAGGGGCAATTTAAGTGTTTTCAATATTTTAGACTGGATATCTTTCATTCTGTGCAGTGAGAGTACTACTGGAACAACAATTTAACTTCCAGGAAAGTTCAGCAGATCTTTTGGGGCTTAAAGCATGTAAGAAGCCAGGCACTATCCAAGTGAGCATGATGTTTACAACTCTCCAGAAAGCATTTTTAAACCCTGAGATAGTGTTTTTGATTTTGCAAACAATATTACAATTACTGTCTAAAATTTTGCTTTTAATATATGAAAACATCCAAGGGATTGAAAATGTGTTCTGCTTCATTATGTGTATTGTCTTCAGACATCATTAACCACTAAAAGTTACTTCAGTTTCAGGTGTGACTATATGCTATATAAGGAATCAAGCAGCTAGTTAATTATTCACTAAAAAAAACCCCAAACCAACCGAATCACCCAAACAAACAAACAATTCAAAACCCACCAAAAACTGTCCTTCACACAAGAGGACACTTTTCATGATATTTCCAATGAACTGGAACTTCTGGCTTCAAATGATAATCCAAAACCTTGCGTTTTCTCTTGGAACTGGGTCAGTTTTTCTAGCCTTGATAGACTTGGCATCCTTTCTCCAAACTGAAATATGCCAGCCATAGTACTTTTTCAGCAATATAGTTATACAGAAAATCTTTGATAAGGCCACATAAGCAACATTTGCATTAGACATCCATGAACCTGCAAGGTTATGTGGCTGTGAGTAACCCCTTCTGCCATTTGATGTTACTGAGACTTTGAAAATCTTGACCGTGAGACAGACTTCTTTTTCCCCCAGAGGCTCAACATTCTTTTTGTGCTACATTTTTCAGAAGAACTCTTTGTTTGAAGAAGCTGGGCAGGGTAAAGCTGGCAGACTGGAACACTGCCCTGATGTGTTGTGACAGACATGTAATCTGCCATTTGACCACTGGTTCACACATCAGTGTTAATGTGAATGTGACACCTCTCAGCATACTGTTAATCAGGCATTACTCTTCTGTCTAAAATGTGGAGATGTGGAGTAGACTTTTATTCTTTTTAGAAGACTATGCAAAAAAAATCTAGTGAAATGAAAATTTACAGCCATAAAGGCAAACTGATTGACAGCTGCAAATCATAGTCACAGCAACATTGATATATACATATTTATAGATCCCTAGATTTCAAAACTAAAAAGGATCATTAGAACATTCTGCTTAATCTAACACATTCTTATGCAAAACATGCAAGGAGTCAAACATACAGTCCCATGTCAAGTGTAAGGAAACCTAGAAGATGGTCTTCCGTATTCCAGAAATTAGATCAATTCAGCTTCTTTTCCTCACTAACACTTTTTTTGTCTTCTGGGTTTTGTTTTCTTTTCTCCTGGTGTTTCATCACCAAAGTGCCCAGGAGTTCATCTGCTTTCATTCAACTGAAATGCATGTACCAGATGGTGCAAATAGCCCAGTATATTTCAATCCTGTATCCATGTCAAAAAAACAGGCAGACAGCTGCAATTCTTGGTTGCTGTACCTCATGGTATCAAAGGCTGGCTAAGAAGAGTGACACTACTTGACAATGAATAAGATTTTTCAGGTCTGGCAGGGAAGTTGCTTTGGAAGCTAAAATCCCTCTTCTTCTCTGTAGGAGTTGCTTTTCATGATTAATTAATTGTGTTTACGCTAACTTACAAAGGATGTAAAGATATAAAAATAGAGTTACAGAAATGAGTCTTGTTAGGATAATTTATAGTAACCGTTTCATCACCTGTCTTCTGAGTATATTACATACTTGCTTGTTAGAATTATAATAGAAATTGACCTGCATTATAAAGTTCTATACAACACTCTTCAGCATACTTTTACAAGAGGACTGTTGCAATCTACTTTTGCTGTGTGAACAGACTAGACCACTGGTCTTATGTCCTGAAATTTGAATGTATCTTAAGTACTAGGGAGTGCAGTGAAGGTAACTAGCTGCTTTCATCTGGTAACAGCTGCTTAGAATTTGACCACAAGACTTTCAAAATATCTCTGTAATATAGCCTTACACCTCAAAAACCATAGCTCTAGAAAAATGATTATATGAGGTTTAGAAGAGTGGAGGGTTACGTTTGTCTTGGAAAACAGAAACTGGAGTTAGTAGTTGAAAGCTGTTTGCGGCAAGGGTTAATATTCACTCTGTTGGTTTTCTTACTCCTAGGTGCTATAACTAGCACAGAGTACAAGAAGAGTTATACCTTTGTATTCATTCTTCTGCCATGTTACTGAAATAACAGAAAACTCGTGTGATACCTTTGGACAGCAATGCAGTGCTTTCTCACCCTGTCCTCTGTCATATCTACAAGAACATGTGTCCTTTCAAGACCTAGGCAAAATATTCTCCTGCTTGCTTCAGAGTTACCTGTGCATTTTTTTATCTTCCCCTTGTTTACAAGCTGGGATATAAGAATTTTAAAACCTACTGGAACATTCTGGTTTCACTAATGTTAGTGTTCTGTGGGGCGATTTATACGTGGTCCAGGGAGGGACATATAGAACTCATTTACTTGTTTAACCTCCCCATCAAGTTTTAAAGCTTTTCTCTGTATTTTTTATTTTATTGAAAATTCATCATTGTTCATCCCCAAACAATTTAATTTTTTGTTTGGTTTTTTTTTTACCACTGAAGAGACAGAGACCTGATTTGGAAAGCTATCTTCCTTCCTGATCAAAGAATTGCAGGGCAGAACAGAGTACCACAGAAACATTCACATAGCTGAAAGGGCTGTCTTATAAAGAATGATAACAGTTAGTTGCACATTCATTTTGCATAGGTGTAAGTGTACCACATATATGAATATTCTTGTTGACAAATCTATTTATGTGTATGTGTATATGTATTCAGAAGCTCTGGTTTGCCTCCAGTCATTGTAGGTGACTCTTCTCATGTGCATTATAGTTACAAAAGTATAATTTTAAGCAGAGATAATACTGAAAAGAATTGTTTGTTTAGCTAAAGGCAAGTAATAGGTTAGGTAAGAATCATTAAACAGGCCATAACAGCAATTTATATTCACTAGAAAGGTGTAAAAAATAGGGCAGGAGATAAATGTTATTTAATGTGATAGATAGGAGTGATATTAAGACTAGTTGAATAAAAGTAGTGAAAGAAAGTTTAGGCTGTCTACCTGAAAAAATCTGGGGAGCAAACTAGTTGCACTAAATGACTGTATAATCTCTACGGGGAAGCATTAACAATCCAATTGCTTGAGATTTTTGAGAGGTCAAAGGATCAGCAAAATACGTGGTGGGGAAGAAGCTTGAATTGGCAGGTAGATGGATCACCTGACCTATTAGTTCTTTTCTATTGCAAACTTCTATGACTTTATGTGGGGAAAATTCCTTTTCAACCCACGCTGGCAATCTGTTTATGTTCTGAAGTATGATGATTGACATCCCTTTTAACTTTTAACCTAGAGAATGTCTCTGCAAGTGTTATTCCTACATATAAATGTCTAATGCTTTTAATAAAAAAAAAAAAGTCTCTCAATTAGGGGACTGTATCCATGTGCAAATGCAGAATGGAGATCACAACAGAGTCTGAGGTGTTATAGCGGCATGGGCAGAACTCCCACTCAGGAAGGATGGGATGTTGAGAAGGAAAAGGGAGCATTTGGGGCTTAAAGACTAGAGAGACAGTGGAGGCAAACAAGTGAAAATTGGATTAAAACAGTCAGAAAGAAAGGTATCATTTTTGTTGAAAGGGGGAATAAGAAAATAAGAGAAATGTGGTGGTAAAAAAGTATAAGAACAGAGAAGTGAGATAGGAAGGGAGAACTAATTTATGGAGTAGAAGAACAAGAAGAACAAATAACGATGTGCTCCTGTTAATATGGTGACAGAGTACTTCCTATCTGTAAGTGTTTACACTTGGTTCATCCACATGAAAGCTTTCTTTTTTTTTTTTTTCAAACAGTGTAATACTTAGTAAGCATCTCTGAAGTACAGTGTGTGTATTTTTGTAACAAACAGTGTATTTCACAACTAAACCCCAGCCTATCCACCTTTCTTGTTAAAGCCCATCAAGAGATAAGAGCTTGTATAAAACTATAGCACCCTAGTAGAAAGAAATGTCATATTCTGCCAGTCTTTACTTCATTTTGCCCTGAATTGATGGACTGGTGATGGGTGGGAAAACATCACGAAAGAAATTCTTAAGAAATGCTAAACTAGCAAAACTTAATATATTTAAATAATATTACCAAAAACGTTCTTCAAATTTTATGGCATTAAACTAAAGCCCAGACTATAAAAAGACAAAATTATTACAGAGATTTCCAGTTACTCAAAAATATCTTTGTGATGTTACTTGTTCTGACTTAAAGAACTTTGTTGAAGCATCAACTTCATTTCTGTTGAGGGCTGTAAAAAAGATTGAAGCCGGGGCCTGGAATATGAACAAACAATGCTTCTAAGTTAGTGCCCCACAGAATATTTTAAAATTATTTAACACAAATCATCTCAGTGTCAACAACTCATCACAGATAAACTATCTAATTAACAGAAGCCATCATAGTATTTGAGAACTCAGTCTTGGCTCAGTTGATATACCAGAAGGGCACTCCTTGATAAGCAAAAATTATAAAGGAAGGTTTAAAAAACATTACTGCCTGAAAGTAGCTTCGTCTTAGTTTTAAATTAACCCTCTGCTAGGTTGGGGTTTTTAGTTTGTTTGGCATTTCTTTTAATCTCTATGAGATAACAAGCACAGGTTGACCTCATATTCTTAGGTATATTCCATGCTAAGATTCTGTGAAATTGGCTATTTTGTGATGCAATATTTTTTTAGTGTCATAGACTTGAAACCATGCCAAAATGACAGCTCAGTTAACAAAAGTGTCCCCAGCTTTCGTAACCACTTCTGAGACAGTTTTATCCCACTTCCTTAAAATTGTAAAGGTTGTCAAAATCTTGAGGTTATAAAACTTTACTGCAAAACATTTTTAGGCATCAAAACATTGACTGGTTCTTACAGCACCAAACCTGCCACTGACTGGAATCCAGGTGCTTCATTTCCCTATATGAAGTCTGTGGGGAGAGAAAGCTGACAATGGGATCCATAAAACCATAACATAGACTAAATGTTATCAAAATAGCTCGTGGAAAATAGCTGCAAAGAGAGATTTCTCCTAAGTCTCTGGGGGGTAATATTTACATGGTTAGATTGCAGGGAGACAATGTAGGACAATAAAATTCATTATCGTAAAACTGCTCCTGAAAGCAGTCTTTTTCACAGAGGAAATGTGCAGTAACAGTAGGTAAGAGTGAAAGACCATTTTCTTTCCATCCCACCCCAGGGTATGGCAGGCATGGGTCCAATCACCTCTTCTGCCTAATGGCTATCTGAACATGTTCCTTCCAGATAAATGATGTGGATGCTCAGCTGTAGGACAATCTGAAGTAGTCCCTCATGCTTGCTTGTAAAACAGTACTCCTGGTATGGAGTGATTGAACTCATTATGCCAGAGTGAAAAGGGAAGACATTGTGTCTTCAAAATGCCACTGATAAAATGCCAGTGTACAAAAAGCAGTGCAAGGACATTCTACTCACATCAAATAGAAGGTTTTATTTGTTAGGTTTTGAATGGTGCATATATTTTTGCTGGTCTTTTTACTCCATGAAACAATGAGAGATGTAGCCTGTGTCTCATGGTAATAGTTTTAGTTTCCTCACAAATGTTATGCTATCTCTCCAGTGAATAATTTAAATTTCTCTCCCTCTTGGCTGTGATCTTTCCCCACAGTGCATATTATCCAAGAAGAACTGATAGAAATTAGAAGATTTTTTCAGCTGGTTCCACAACTATCAGGTGATAGTCTCAGAGGATTTTGGTTCTTCCAGGAAACTTGCAGGACAACTGCAAAAGGGAAAGTCTTGAGTAGCATGGTAAGAAACACTAATGTATAACAGTCTGGTAATTATAGGAATTATATTTCATGTCTGAGCAAAAAGGCTACCAGTATGAACTCTGTAATATGGAGGGGGTAAATAAGGGACACTAAACTGAAGGGTTTTCCTGAGTAACACTGCAGAACTGTTTTGGTTTTTTTTGGAACTGAAATAGATCACACTCCTGACATCAAGTGTTGCAAGAGAACAGTTTATCCTTAGTTATTAGTTCATTCCTAGAGCATTCCCATGTTTGAACAAAGTATGTTATCCACCATCTTAGCAAATAGAAATGCTGAGTTTCCAAAGTCTTTTAAAAAGAGTAAAAAATGTGATGAAAACTGAATAACCTACAAGTGTTATTCCCAATATATTATTCAGGTTTTAAACCTTGATCTGACTGAGATGTAGTGTCACATATATGGGATTATTTAGGCATCTAACTCAACTAGCTACCTTTGGAAATTTGAGCTCTAGTCTTAAAAATAAATGAACAGGAAAGTAAACAGTAATATACATATGCATTATAATAATAATAATAAAACCTGTCTTAATTTTTTCATCAAAACACTGTATAACCCAAAATTTTTAGGGGAGTAATGAGAATATGAGTTGTTTTCAACTGAAAATGCTTGGAAATAAATGTTTCTATCTTTCTTTGAAAATTTTGAATGCTATGAATTTTGAAAAGATTTCTTACAGTCAATTAAATAAAAATTATTGCTTGGTTTCAATTCTGTCTAAGTTGCCAGAGTTATTGAGGAAGGCTATGATAAGGAAAACAGTAAGTCATAATGATCAATTTAATGGTGTCAACATGTCATACAAAGAATCAAATGTAGAGAAATTAATTTATTGATCTTGGCTTTCACCTGGCATTACAGTAGAGGTGATGTTATTCTAGGAAAGTTTTGGTAAGGAACGTAGGAGTACTGACTTGAAAGAATCTACAGAGATCACTGAGCCTTAAATGCAGGCAGCTTTCTAATAGATCTGGAATACATGCCAGTGTAACCCTATCACCTCTAGTAAAATAGACTGAAAAAAATCACAAAAGCTGTCAGCTGCTGAGGGAACATAGCTGGCAAGACCAAAACAATTGACAGTGTGTTTGGTCTGCTCCATATACAAAGTTTTGTTAGACATTTATCATTACACAGGTTTACACAACTTGATGTATAGTTTCCTTTATGTTGTTAGAAGACTATTTTACTCAGTAATACTCCAGAGAGGCTTCTTCATGTACTGCATTCACCACATACAGAGAAGGAGCGTAAACAGATATGGTTGTATTACCAAAGTCTCTTCTGAGTAGAGAGGCACCCTATCTTCAGTACTTTCTTTCATATTTAATGAATGTAAGTTCTGTTGAAGTTAGCAGCAGTAATGATAGTGACATTCTTGTACATTCCAGAAAAGGTACATATTATCTCAGATAAGACTTGTGGAAATAAATAATTTTTTCAGTTTCCTGGCAGTTCCAGATAATGATTTCAGATCAATTCAAATTAATGGCAGCTCTTGGACTATTTTCAATGTTTAACTTGCACAAATATTGTTTCACCACACATAGATATGCACAAAGTTGATGTTTTCAGAGGTCTTCTCCAAGTCTAAGGAAGCTACTACATATATATCCTGCTGTCTTGAACAGTTCAAACAAGATGTAACAACCCTCATAATTTCATAACAATGTTATAATTATTAATAAATTCTAACTGACCTCAATGAATTTGTTTCTACAAAAAGAATAGCAAAATCCTAATAAAAAACCAAATAATTACACCACCACCACCACCAAGCCACAGGAACATTAGGTTTGCCTTTAATCCACCTTTGTGATGTGACAAGCTAGGTAAATCTAGTTTAAGTGAAAAGACTAATTTTGTTGAAAGATTATTCATTAAAAATGGACTTTACATTATATATTAAGTGTTGATTTGGATTTACACATACTTTGCATCTACAATGAACACATGAAACAGAATGGCTGGAGTCAAAAACTGCTCTAGACCATCACTGTATTTTCCTGAATCAGACACTAGCAGCATGCTGAAACAGTCTTTCATAAAGGTTTAAAAATGGGTTGGTTTGAACCTGATAAATGTTAGAAAAAGGGCTAGCTTTCTGGGGATGGTTCTATCAAATTGGGATTAACATTTTTGACTTAGTCCCTTATGCTTCTGAAGAGGCTGACATAATTTAGTGGCTGTGAAAGTAACACCTTTGTCAGTTTCATTGTACTTCATTTCACCTTCTCATTTGCGTCTTTTAAGAATAAGATGGCTAACTGAATACAGTAATCAATGTGCCATCGATTTATATAATGCAATTGTAATCTTCTCTTTTCTATTCCATTCTTAACACAATTTAACATCTTATTTGAACAAGTCTCTTCATTGAGCTGTCTAAAGTAATGCCTAGATGTTTTTTTCCTGGGAGGTTACAACTAATTCAGGAGATATTGTTATGTATAAATACTTTAGACTATTTCCACTAATGACTTTTAGGGAGGTCTTATCTTTGTTGAGGCTTATCTGCTACTAAGTTGTTCAACCAGTTATTTTTGCAAAATTCACCTAAAGCTCTTTATAGTTCCTTAATTTAAATGATTCAAATGAGTTTACAATTTCAGCTGCTTTTCTACATTTAGTCTTTAACCTGTTTTCAATTTCAACATACAGAGTAAACAGTACTTTTGCCAAAACTGCTTTTATGTAGTTAACTCTGTGTTTCTTATACTGGAAATAAGAATTCTGTTGCTGTTCTGTTAGCCTATGATGATCTAGTCACAATACAAACAACCATCAAATAGGATAAATACCTAAGAAATACCTAAAAACTACTTATTATAAACCTCTGCAAACCTGACATACATAGCAGTCTAGCCATAGCTGCATGTCACAGCATTGATTTATCCTCTTAAAATTGGTCTTAATCCTAGCATACTTGTCTTAGTGTCATTACGCCTGTATTTCTGATATTATCAAATTTTTAATAGAAAAGATTTCAATAACCTTATCTGACTTTTGTTTTACTGTAGACATTTCTGCTGGTATACGTGAATTAGTTTACAACTAAGTCACCCATGTCAAAACTACACAGTAGTGACTGAAATTGTGCTGGCAATGTAGAATATCTTGAAAGGGGGTTTTATATTTTTGGCAAGCAATGTTTCACCTCATTGTCTCCTGCAAAGAACTGCTTGAACATCTCTGTAAAATTTGAAATAGTTGGAAAGATTTACAGAATTATGTTCCATGATATCTCTTCTTAAAACAAAGAACTTAAATAATAATAATACTGCAGGACAGCATTCTGATTTCTGCCATTTTCACTCCTTTTTTTTCTGTATTTTTCTAGGGCATGTACAGAGGAGTCCTAATCCATGAGCCAGTCTCTTCGGTGCAATCACAATACAAGTAAGCAGTAAACACAAGAGATGTATCTGTTACTATACCACTTTTAGGTTGCATTCTGTTTCTGTGTTTAAGAGTGTTAACTGTTACTGCGAAGCAGGTCACTGTTAAATGATTTTCAGGACAACCTAACTACCTGTTAATATATGTAGAAGCAAGTTCAATTATTTTAATGTTCTGTTTCTTCAGAATCTGGAGACAGGTGCAGTTACATATACACATGTAACTGCATTACATTGCTGGATTTCCTAGAATTTCCCTCGTTAAGTATTTTTTTTTCATTAAATCTGTCCATTCAACCTTTGTATAATAGCTAAGGGTAAAGAATCTTCAGCCTTTTCAAAAGACAAATCTTCTGCTATAAACAGCATGCCGTTACAACTCAACTGATTGCAAAGAATTTGGATTGCTGTGTGATTCAAGTCTTTCATTGAACTGATATCATCCACTCAACCTCAGCAATACCTTAGAGAAATACAAAGCAGAGTAACTGTCTTTTATATTATACTCACTCAGTACAAGAATAATAGAGATGCCATGAACATTGCAGAGGTGTCACATTAGCTGCTCTGTGCTAGAGCTGAACTTAATAAAGGAAAGAGAGCTTATTGTTAATTTTTTTTTTTACAAGTATGGAATACATGAACACTGCTTACAAATGAGCCTTTTTTAGTTTTAAACACATTTCCTGAAGTAAATAGTATATTTCCCTAATTTTCATGTCTTTTGGTATGCTTCCAAAAAACTTGGAAGTGAATTAGTGTGCAATTTGCATCCAAATCTCAGCCAAGGGGATGTGGTTTATTATAATACATGGCCCTCCTAATTATTGAACAGCCCGAGAAAACTAGGCACAATGTGCATCTGTTATTGCTTGACCACACTGCCAAACATAATTTGGCAAGCACAGAAATGTACATTGAGCAGACCTACAGTCTAATTTGCATTAGTTTGTAGTAATTATATGAAAGCTATAACTGAACCAAGCTTGTCCTCTCTTTTTAGATCACACCATTCTTTTTGAAAAGAAAAGAAATCTCAAGCAAATATCCAAAACAGTTAAATAGCACACACATACACAACCCTGAGAAATTCCTTGTTTGCACAGTAGACTCTTTCAGTATTATTTAATCATCATCCAAATGTTATTTCTGTGCATTCTGTAAAATAGAAAAGCTTCCCCCCCCCCCCCGCATTTTTATATAGGCTTTTCTGTGTTTTCCTTTATCTCCATTCAGAAATTTTTCATCTTTTCTGCCAGATTCTAAAACCCTGTACAATTCACCCTGTAACTGGTGATTAAAGTCAATGACATTTTTTAATTCAGTTGCAAAGGAGGAAGGGGAGGAAAGTCCTGCCTTTCATAATTTGCCTTTGTCCCTTTCCATAGTCATTTAATCCAAACTTTACTCTGACAAAAAGGAAGCATTTCATGATAAGTCATCTTGTGTCACGTTAATGCTGGACAGCAGTGGCCAAAGCCTGGGGGAGCCTGAATGTTATGGTAAAAATACCAGTAGATTTTGGCCTACAGAAGTTCCAACAGAAAATTCTTGCTTCTTCCCTTATTTTTCTAGTTAAATTACATTTTTGGATATACAGACATATACATCCTGGCTCTGTATAAGAGGTGATAGGAAATCTAAACTAAGTAGATGAGGAAATAGAGCAGAATCTCATCTACAGAAATTATAGTTTTATGACAACTGTTGTGTAAATAAAGTATTTTCATGAAGTGCAAGAGGATAGGGCATAAAAGGGATGAGAAAGAGAGCCAGATTCTATTCCCATTAATATGAATGACAAAAACTACTATTCACTCCAACAGCCAGGACCAAGCATAGAGGAAGGAGAGTTTTTTCTCCCCTTCTTTAAGTAAACACTGGCATTTTCTGCTTCAGCTGCAGGGGCTGAGAAGAAGAGGCACAGTCTTTGTTGTTGGTAAACAGCTTGACATTTCATAACATTGGACCAGTCATAGAGCTTTCAATCTAGAGTCTGAGTATGAAGAAATAACTGTATATTAGCTATGGAGTTAGGTATTCTCAGATAATTTAGAGTAATTATTAGCTGGCATATCCAGAGTCACATACAGTTACTGTGAAATGACCATACGGAGATTATGTAAATGAGTTTCCAAGAGTGAAAATGCAATCAAGAATAAAAGTGAATAAAACCTGTGGAATATCGCTGAATGAGTGAAAACTACTTCTACACTCTGATTACCTGCTCAAATCTATTTTCATAAACAAAAGCAAGCGTGAAATGAATTAGAGGGGAAAAGAAACCCTAATGAATGTAAGTTACTTCCAGTTACAAATGGCATTTCACAGTTGACCAAAAGACACCTAATCTGCTTTTATATAGTATGCAGAAAATAAAGGTACATTTGCTTATACAATACCTGCTGCAAAACTTTATTTTCAATTTTATTTTTTAATGTAGTTCTACAATAAAATACTAACTGCATAAGAAAACAGCAAGAAATTAAAACAGAGCAAGTCTTTTTCCACATATTTCAGTGGCTGAAATAAAGCAATGGAGGAAAGAGCTGGGGGAGGGTGCTGTAAAGTAAAACTGCACTGTTTTATTAGCACCAGAAACTGCTCCATAATGAGCAGTCTATCTTTATCTAGTTTGATGGTATTTGGGGTTTTTGTTTGCTAATGGAATGATTAACTAACTAAAACCCAATTTTTTAATAGTTATTGCTGCTAATAAAAAACAAGAAGTAGATTTGGTTAAAAATGCAGGGTTGTTTTATCTTTGTTTCTTGTTTTGTTCTTTCATTGATATGAGAATACTACTCATATTTGCACAGGCAGGGCCAGCAATAAAATTCCTCTTCTCACTGATCCCTACTGTTATTGAAACATTTTCTTGTAGATATCAGTTTTACTATAGTTCAGATATTTTGCCAGAAGACATTCTTGCACTTTACATATTACTTCTTTAATACACATAACGCAAAGTTTTCTATGCTGCAGGCTCCTTATGAAAAGGGATTTGACATGCCTGGTTTTAAGCTTCTTCTTCTAATAGCCATATTCAAGATAACTACCAAATAAAAATCACTTGGTTTTTGGAGCAAGAAACAAAAAGACTTCAATACTCAGAAGGTAGCATGAAATTAATAAATTTGGAATTAAAATCTTTTTCGCCCATTGTCTTCATTGGTTTTCCCTTATCAAAAGGCTACCAAAAGGTAGCCATATTCATCCAACTTCAGATATATCTAGAAATATGTGCTGTTTCAGAGAATGTTAGGTTTCTACTCTGAATTGCAAGGAACAGCCACTGAACTACATTCAGTTCTTACTTTGTAGTTAAACACCTTAAAATACCATGTTAAAACCACAGTTTTGGAGATACATATGCAAACCACTTCCTGTTAGTGAAAGCCTGCAGAGATGTATGTGCTACACAGTACATATATGCATTTCCCTTCAAGAAACTGATGGGCTTGTAGTGGTGCATGAGCTGTGTCTGTGTATTACTGGGAAACAGATGTCATGTGAACTTCCTGCAACATGACTTCCTAGGAAGTACTCATTCTCAACTTTTGCAAGTTGCTGCACCACAGTTCTACAGTCATTTCTGGCTGCACAGTTAGACCTGGTATCATTACTTAGAAAGAGCCTTTTGAGTGAATAGGCTGGTTTAATGACATGTAGAAGACCTATTGGAACCTCCCAAAATTTTGAGCAAGGATGGCTAAGTCTAACCTCAGTTAGGGAAATCACAGCCTTGAAATGAACAGTTTGGCATGAGTGAAAGTTATCTGGCTGGGAACTGTTTTAGAAAATATGTCTCCAAACATCCTGCTGTAACAAGGGTGGCACACAGAGTGGTAGGAAAGACACGGAAAAGAGGGACTTGCATTTTAGTTTTCTCCTAGGATAGCTCCTATTGTCTATCTTTTCTCTGGAAAATAATTTATTTTCAAGATTCCCAAGCAGGAGAAAACTTTCTCTTTAAACTACAACCAGTCTCTAAGGAGTAGAGCTCGTAGTCAGTAGTCACACTTGATAAGAGTATTTTTACACTGAAGGTTTATACTGAAAATGTGTATCATTGCCTACTATTATATTAGTATCTTTATTTAACTTCTCCTGTTTACAAGCCCAGCATCAATTCTCTTAGTTACATAAGTGTAAATCCTACTTTGTTTTTTTAATGCCATCATGTAGCCTTTTTGCCATCAGCAGTAAATATTACATGTGTCAGTGAGGTTTTCGGTATACCTGTTTAGCTAAGTCTTCTTCAGAATGTGTTTAGCTGTGTCTGTGAAAGCTTAGTGACTCTACTGAGCTGTGGAAGCAGTAGCAGGCTGGAATTCACTAAGTGATTCAGCTGAAGCTAGGTAAATGCAATCAAGTATGGTGCAATCAGGCTTAGCTGTGTGGTATGTAAATAAACAGATTGTGGACATGAAGTGATGCAAATGAAATTATTTTCACTACAGTATTGCAGATAAGAATGAATATGTGGAGGGGCTAAAAATCTAAAGAACCACTTTCAGAATAGATCAGAGGAATATATTCACTCCTGCAGAGTTTCATTCTGTTCCTGATGTGTATGTCTATGTCCTAGAGATACTAATGGAAACTTGTTAATTTTAAGACTAAAGGCATCTCTAGGTTATCCAGACTATTAGATCTTCATATAAAAAAAGCACATAAAATTTTATCTTATGTTTTTTTTCTGAGCCAACTTACTTTTATCAGGTACCACACAGGCACCATCTATCTAAACTATCCAAACCCTACTGGCAAGGAAGTGCTATGCAAAATAACAAAGTATAAGTTATCAGAAAAGGGGAGTTCCCACACCTTTATCTTTAACATTTTTTATAGGAAACAAAAAAAAGGCAGGTTTGGATTAAGCATGTATTTCAGGGAGAATAAAAAAAGCCATCCATTTCTGCTGAAGATATTACAGGCAATGGAGAAATTAGCACTTGCTGAGTTAATTTGTTCCAGGAGTTAGTCACTGTCAGTGTCAGGAAAACAAAATAAAACTAAAATCTTTGTTTCTTAGGCTATTTTTAATTTTAGTGACTTGGTCTGCTCTTTCTGCTAGATGAAACAGCTTTTTTCATACCTGGCAATCACATATGCAAATCCGGTGTCCTTGATGCTTTTGAAGAACTAAGCAGGACCAGCTGCTTAAGTCTACTACATGAAAACAGTTTCAGCTTTGACTGTAATTAACATATTAATGGTTCATAATTCATAATATAATTCATTGTAATTTCTATGAATTTTTTTTTGTGTATACATGCAAAAGTTTATACATTGTGCATACTTCCTTTGGGTTTCTCTTTTCAGGAAGTATTTCATATAAAAACTATCGCTTTTCACAGATATGGAAGGAGATATAAAGATATTTTCAGACTTTGTGAGTGTAGAACTGTAGAGGGAAGATTCTAATTTGGGTAGCAGGTAATTAATACAATGTTCTCTTGCAAAGGCTGTATTATCATTGTTAACTGTGTTATTTCTTTTTATGTTTTGTCAATATAATGGCAGATGTAGGCCTGAGGTTAACCTTGACTAGCTACATTAAACTGAAATTTGTCTCTTCTTGTTTTCACTAATTTAGAAAAGTTTACATTGGTTGATGTAAAATACATCATTTCTCAGCAGTGAAAGACATAGCCTGAATCTTCAGACAGTGTGAAACAATAGCTCTAAGGGAAATGTAAATTGCTTGCATTCACTTCTGTGATGCTACAGTTCTGACACTGAATCCTAAAAGGTAACATTTTAAATGTTTTATCAAAATTTGGTAGGAATGCATTTCTTCAGTCTTCAGTAACACATTTCCTGTTTACTTTTTCTACAACAGGATTATCCATGAGAATGCTCTTACAGCCTAAGAAAAGTGAAATCCACTTGTTGAAGGGCTTATCATGCATTTAAATATTTAATTTAATAGAATTAAATATCATGTCTGCAGGACTTCAGACTGACTACTAAACCAATGAGTGTTAGACACAGAGCAACCCCATTTCTCCTGCAAACTAAAGTACAGGCTGTAGTAGAATACATATGGCCTTGAATTGCTAGGTACTATTATAAAGTGAATTTAGAAACCTATCTTGTAGTATTCAAAACTTGTAATTTATTCCAGTGTGTCTTATAATTCTCCTAAATATGACTAAAGAAACTCAATCATATGATTTACAACTTAAAGCTGACATAGCAGGGATTACATATGCACACATAATTAATAATCAGTGTACGCTGTCTTTGTATGTCACAGAATACAATACTTAATACAGATGTAATGTCTTCTGTGAATATTTAAACATTATGTACTACTTGATCTATTTGCTTAACTGGGTGATCATGCTAATAAACTCAGAGATTAAATTATTTACAGGAAACAGAAAGAAGGTTCACAAAAAAAAAACAACCCAAAAAACAAACTAATTTTATTTTTAATGTGAATGAAAGAAAACGGTTTATCTATTCTCTTAGACTTCCATGTATCTTTTCTCTTCCTGTTTTTTGTTTATGCCATCCATTTGATACTTGGTCACCCTTTTTGCATTATGAAGCCACAATAGATACCATATGTAAAATGTCATTAAGGACTTCCCAATTTAAGATCATTGTGTATTTGTATTCCAGTGAGTCTTTAGAGAACTGAGACCCAGGAGGCTGAAATTTCTGAATTTTTCCTCAAGAAAGAAATTTATTTTCTAGTGAAATCTAAACAGAAACATTAGGATCAGATTTTAATATCAATATTGTGATATCTAGATTGAGCTCATAGCTAGAAGGCAGAAAGAGACTGCTTTCTACACATCTCTTTTCCTGTACAAGGCTATAGCATCTCACGGTTTTTTTGAAGGCTTATTTAATTCATGTTGGCATTCACCAACATTTGATAAACATGTCACTCCTCACCAGGTGTTCTAACTGAAAGCAGAGATGGACAAAATATATTCTGCAGTCTACTAATGACAGAAGACCACTATTTTGATGAAAATGTAAAAATTATAATTGTAAAAATATTTACAAAGTTACCGATGAAAATGAGGATGGTGAATGGAAGGGGTACCCACACTAATTTACATGATTTTGTGCAAAGTTCTTTTTCACAAACATAATAATTTTCATGTGCTGGAAGCTACGTTTGCATGTGATATAATTGTTTTATCTTCTATGGTTTTTATTCAGTTTATTTAGTTTGATGATCAGTACCCATCATAGGGTAAGTATTGTGGTTACGTCTGCCTAGGAGAAATCAGCCAAGAATTCTAACAATGTACTAAATCCTCTTCTCAAAGATATAATCTGTAGAGAGCATCTACTTCATCTGACAAACATGATTTCAATTCAGGAAATAGCTCACAATCACTCTATTGCATCTGACATCAGCGGTACCCATGCAGCCATTCTGTGCAAACTCCCTGCTTTTAAAGGTCTTCCCATCACTGTTATTGGTCTCACAGATGATGAAGTATGACACTCCATAAACAATGAGCTGGGCCTTTTGTAGGCTGCTTTGCTTTTTTTGGCTTCAAACTGCCACTGAATGTCAAATCAATTTGGCTCTCATTAGAACAGCTTTATATGTGCAAATGTATTTGTGTCTGGTTGCCACTTTTTTTCTATTTTTGCCTTCCTTTCCCTTTGCTTTTTTTTCCTCCTCTCTCTTGGATGATGTCATTTTTCTCTAATCAAAGCCAACACCTGTTTCTCTAAAATAGGAATCTCTGTGTAGAGCTCTTTATCACAATCTGAGTACACCCTAAATGGGCTCATTATGAATCAAGTTCCCCCAGAACAAAGAGGAAGTGCTCTGTTACAGTGACATTGTACATCATAGAGCCTGGACAAAGTCAAGAGCTGATGTAACCTTGACTTTTGACATCCCAAGAGACTGCTGTCTAGATAGTGCAAGGTGTTTAAGCCACTGTCTTTGATAAGTAGTGAAACAATAAATCTGACCCTGTGTTTAAGAACAGCTCAACTGTTACACAATGCTGTATTGTGCTTGTGGGGTTCTGGGTTTGGGGATATTATTGTTGTGTTGTTTTTCTCCTAACCAATTAAAGGGAATACAGAATTGCGATTTTGAGGATTTCTGGTTTCATAAACACAAACCTGCTTCGGCAAGCTAAATGAAGAATGCCACGCAATGAAGGGAATATGACAAAATAGGGGTGACGTAGACCTCCCAGTTATGAGTCAGTAAAGATCGGGTCTAAAAGAACACATTGCAAGTAGTCTGAAAGGCTGGAGATTAGAAGGGGAATTAGTGTGGAAAGCGGGGGATATGCTGAAAGGCTGCCATAAAACCTGTGTTGTGACGTGTGAAAGAAACATAGGCTCACTTTTCTTGCACTTAGGACCACTTTGCCTTTTATGACACTTGTCTTCTTCAAATGGAAAGATACACATTTTAGAAGGTGGGGAACCTACAGATAGAGAATAAGAGAGAGACTGGAGAGAATGCTGCTAACTATACCCCAGCTCCCTCCAAATGTGAACATTTGGCACTTGCAAAGGAAGAAGTTTTCTCTGGACACTGAAGGAGAGAAACAAAGGAGAAAGAAACAGCCTTTTCTCATCACTTGCAATAATGGGCTAAAACATCTTCAGAGGACCTCAAGCTGTCCAAGGAGGGTCCTTGCTCAGTTTGTGAGTGGACGAACTCTCCTGTATAAGGGGACTTTGAGTCAGACACTCTCCAAGGAAAATGCCTATTTTCAGAGCTGAAGAAAAGGTTTGCTTGGCTGAGATACTCAATGATTTCAACACTAATTGAAATACACTGGTAATCTGCCATCTGTGGTTTTCTTGAGTAGAAAATTTTGACTGAAGTCCAGGTCTTAGTAGATATGAGGCCACATTATAAAATCTATTCTCCTACTCGACATCATCTTTCATAGTGTCTTACTCTGTCACTGCCTTTGGATTAAGGACCACAGCAAAGTATGGAAAATGTGGGTACTTCAGTTGCCAAGTCATTTCTTGGTCTCTATTGAATCTATCTATAGTGAATATTTCATTACTGACATCTATTCTAGCCATGGGATTGTCAAAGCATTTTTTCATGTGTAATAAATTTACATAAACACCCCACCCCAAATACAATGAAACAGAAAGGATAACAAGGACCTAAATTATATTTTTAAAAAATATTAAAAGACTTCTTGATTGATTTGCAGAGGCATAGCAAAATTCCTTCATATAGTGGCCTCATGAATGAGATGATAATATGCAAGTAAAGCATAATGATTGGCATATTAAATACAAGATCTTTGTCACCATCTGTTTCCTGATTGTGTCAGCAAGTTGTTTTTTTTTTCATAGAAGTGTGAGAATACACCATGGCCTCGAAGTATCAAAATGTCAATTATACATCACATTTTAAAGTTGGAAGCCCAGATCACAAAAAACATTTTGAAATGTCCCTGAATTCTGCTTGAAACACTGATAAATTATTACCTATCCTTCACATTTAGCCTTAGAGTACATTAGCATGATTATTGTGCTGGAAAATAAAACATTGTAGAGGCCAGGTTTACAACTTCATAGTAAATACTTTAAAAAAAAAATGATACAGAAGGAGACAGGGAGAGAACTAAGAATTCAAAATGAAGTGAATAGTTTCAGAACAGCTCTATCAAATACTTGCTATGTCAAGCTCAAGTACTTTAAAAAAACAGTTTTCCATTTCTGATATTTTCCATTAAAATAATATTCACTTATAAGATAGTATTCCTTTTTCTATGTTTTCACCAGTACTGACTCATTAGAAACTGCAGTAGAAAACCTCTGTCAAAGCCAGCTAAAATGCAGGATGCTTTCCTTTAATACAACAGGTCTTGGTTTACACCCTCAGTGGTCTTATATGAGAATTTGTGGGAGATAATGTTTTTATGTCCCACATAGGATGAGGTCTACTTAGCACCATCAGCTACGAGTATCAGCAGCCCAGAGGTGAAGGCTTCTGATTCTGTTTTTTAAATATAAATACAAGTCCCTTCCAAAGCTGAAAAGGCCACTATTGTCTGAAGGTATTATTTCTACTAAGGGGAGGAAACAGAGGGAATATGTATCATGTAAATTGATTGTTCACTCACTGAAGATACTGATAACATCACCAAATAAATGCAGTGGCCTTTAGATTTCCTTCTAGATCAATTATTATGCTAGTGAAAATAAATTAGCTATGTGTAAAATGTGATGAAGAACATAATCATGTCCTACCAATCTAGCATGAGATAAGTTGGAAGAACTGTAAGAGGCCTAAATTAAAAAGTGGCCTTCCAAACTTGTATCTAATTGGACTTTTGATGGGGCGTAATGAACATATTTCTTCTACCTTATAATGCCTGATTATACTAATACTAATACATGATAAGATATAAAATGCACTCTTTAATACAGGCTGCTTACATGATATTTGCAGATAAGTTATAAATTTTTACTGTCATAAGGCAGCAATTTATAACATTCAGAACTGGTTCCAAGTGAGACTAATTCCCAAATATGGAGACTTCAAGTAACATGACATATTACATGTTTGGGATCATTCTCTGTGCCTGTGAAACAGAAGTGCATTTCAACTCTAACTAATAATGTGAGTTCTAGTATGTATGTGTATATTAAGCATGCATGTACATGTATATTAATTAAAAAATTTGGGAAGATTCAATTTGGCTTTCCTCACTTCAGCAGTTCTCCACGAGCAATTGTGTATAGGCATCTCTTCACCTGTAATATAAACCTTCTTCCTACTTCAAAAGTTCATGTAAATGATCTGTAAAGTTTCAGCAGAGATTTGTGTATTCCTAGTGGAGCAGCATGCCTTGCCAGATACCAATCTCTCCATTCATCAGCAAATCTTCATCATAAGCTACTGGAAAGCAGAAAAGAGTAAGAGTCAGTGTTGAAGCTGTGCAGCTGTAGTTTGATTGATAAAGTTTGTAGCCTCACTTCTTCTCAGTGAGGGTGACGGAACACTGGAACAGGCTGCCCAGGGAGGTTGTGGAGTCTCCTTCCCTGGAGACATTCAAAACCCGCCTGGACACATTCCTGTGTAACATTATCTAGGTGTTCCTGCTCCGGCAGGGGGATTGGACTAGATGATCTTATGAGGTCCCTTCCAATCTCTAGCATACTGTGACTGTGACTGTGACTGTGAACCTACATATGCATATGAACCAGCACAGAGCAGAAAAAAATAATACGTGAGAAAAAAGCTCTTCTGAGAGCTTTCACGTGTGTCTGTTACCAAGGTAACCCCTTCATGTATGTTTTCTGAACAGGTACCTTTTGGGGGTCTGACTCTCAGCTTGTACAGCTCACACTGAGATGTCAACTGAAGGCAGGCAGTAGGAGTCCAGCAGCAGAAACACACTATGAAAAATAACTGGTGTATTACTAACAGATATCTCTGTGTATGTCTATGCTGGTGTCACTGTCTTTTCTGAAAGTGAGGTCTGAATTTGTGTGTAGTAATTAAATATTTCTGAAATTTGCCTGTGAACATCAGTCTATGTCTGATTCTCATAGCAGGGACCTAATGAAGTTATCAGCATCCCTTTACTGTTTTTCTTCCTGTAAGTCCATTATACAATTCATCCTCTATAACATCTGTTCTAAAAACAATCTGTTTACTAACACATGAGAAATAGTTTGACTTTTTTTTTTCTCTTCTGGATGCCACTTTTTTTCTTCTTGACTGCTCTGTCAGGCATCCCAAATGAAACAAAAACCCCGCTTTCACTTTTTTTTTTAATTAAAATTTTGCTATTTAGGACTTGATCCTGAAACAAGTGACCCTAATAGAAGTCTTGTTACCAATATCCATGTATTTTTCTTTTCCCTCACATCAGGAATATGTCATAGGAAATCATATACTGTGTCCACACTTGGTGTTAAGCATAGGGTTAGGGCTATGTGGAGAACAAAAGATATGAGACCCATGAAAAGAGTGGGGCTGCAGGGAAGTTGACAAGTCATAACAGCACTGTGGGCTAAAATGGGAATCTCTTCCCCTTGGTATTTCCACTGTGGCTTCCGTATGTTACTTGACAGAAATCACTGCTAAGGTTTAGGATTCAGGCTAGATTTATGGTTTCTGTTCCTGCATCATGTAGAGGTTGGCATTCATGGCTTGGAAAAAAAGTTTTCTCATATTAAAGCCACTGTACAGAATTATGAGAATTATGTGAATGTACTGTAAGTAAATGATAAATTTGTCTCCTGGCAGCAAAAGAAAATAACTTACTGTACAAATCCAAGAGCATTAAAGGACTTAGAGATCAAACAGTATAATATAATATTCTCCTGTTATGATTTCCAGGAGAAAGATACTACTGAGCTAGATAGGCTTACATACAATACTACTGCAAAAGAAAGAGTGACGTCTGATACAATATTGACACTATAATTTTGAGAAATCCATTCCGTAGTAATTTCAAGACTGAATACATGCCTTCCCTGCTGTTCTTTTTTGCTGTGATTATTTGTTTGGTTTCATTTGCTTTGTCTAGTTAGAATTTTTAGAATGGCAATGAGATGAGGTCTAAACTGAATGTAGGCATTAGGCAAGAAACCTTGTAGTATATTTCAACAACCCATATTGGATGTCATTGTTTATTTTAAACTTGAACTTAATTACTGTGAGATCCCAGGCTCTATAAAGACAATGAGTGGCATCTATAAATGCTAGTATAAATCAATAAAGAGGGGGAGGTTAAGTGATTTATGTTGGAGCTGAGCCACCGTGTAATAGCTGGTGCTCATTACAGCTTCAGCAATGAATGGGAAATCAAAACATTAAAGAGTGCAAACAAGAAGACTATCGTATTTTGGAGGAAGTTTGAGATACTCCATTCGTCCAGGTCACCCATTTTTATCCTTTTAAAAGGTAGGTTAAATCTTGTATTTAATAGACATCTTGCCTAAGAAAAGGCTGCTGGGGTTTTCCAATGTTTCCATGACTTTGAGTTGTTGCCAGCTTTGCCTGACAAATAACAAGCATAGCTGCCAAAACTAAACTATAATATTGCTTTAAAGAGAGTATTATAGGTACAAGTTTTAGGTATGCACTGCT